CATGTTTTCCTTTAAATTTGAAATACAGATTCCAACTTCATAAACTGTAGAAATTCCAATTCTTACAATCTTAGGCAGGAAACCCACTGTGTCTCTGCAGTCAGGTCCCTGTTTTCACTCAGTGCCTTTTTCAGCAGCAGCAAATGCAAAGTCTTCTCAGGTCCTTAGGGTTTTGTACCCATCCTCTGCGAAAGCTGCTCCTCTGCCCCTGACTCCAGGCTCAGTTTCTGCCCAGGCACTTCAGGCACAAGCTCCACATGGTCCCACTGTGCCAGCCAGGCCCTCTGATCTTCAAAGTGTCACTCCTCTGAGCTTCTCTTTCAATGATCCAGAGGAGGAATGATCTCCTCTTCCAACAACATGACTCCAAGTGATCATATTGGTAAAGTACGTAATATGTAACAGACAACTCACAAATACAGAGAAAAAAAAGAACTGATACATCCAACATTACAATAATCCAAAATTACTTAGCTTGGTAGTTTATAGTTTCATATAAGTTCTAAAAAACACTGCTTAGATCTCTTGGGTGGGCCAGTTGTGTAAAAGAAAGGACTATATGCTTGCTAAAAAGATCTTTCTTCCAAACCAACATAAGCATAAAATCATAGCCATCATTTAAAAAGCAGTGCAAGTCAAGTAATCTCATCCTTCTTTTACAGTGGATAAAAAGCTTGATTTTAATACACACAGTGTTAAGATCCACCAGATAGTGATATTACCTGTGGAGAACACAGTATCAATTCCCCATCTGTCTGAGAAGATCAGAGAAAACTGGCAATAGTCTGTGTTACTGAATTCGCCTTGATGCTTCTGGTGCATATATGATTACTTTGAAGCTCTATTTGTGTTTGACTACCTTTTAGAGGCAAAAACTTAAGTACCTTTTGACCTAATGTAAAATACGGTATATAATCACAGCAGTGATGCACCTTTAAAAATTCTGTTGTACAGACAGTCTCTTGTGAAGGATTTCTCAACCCATTAAGATGCTACTTGACATTACTATTTTATTATGAGAAACAACTCTTTCTGGCTTCTGCTTTCTATTCATTTCAAAGGAAGTGATACTAGTAAAGATCAATAGGACCTAGGAAAGAAATCTCATATGGTTTCTGTCTTCTTCCACACTCCTTTTTATATTTTCATAAACATTTCTTTTTCTCTAAATCCTTTGGGCTTCAATTCCTAGCCTTTTCTACAGTCAGCATGGAAAAATTTTCTGCATTGAAAGAGCTAACATTGGTATTGTTCTCTAAAGAACCGAATTAATTAGTAGTAGTGTCTGTGGAAGAACAATACTGCCCCTATTTATGAGCAGTTAATATTTGAAGCACTGTCATGACTTGAAGCTCAGAGATTTTACACTGATCTGAGTCAAACAGTATGCACATTGCTTAGGTGTTTGACACCACTGGTGCCTATGTTGTAACTGATGCGAAATGATTGAAATATTATACATGGAAATACACTCAGTAGATAGGAGGGAGTTCTTTCAGAAAAAAATCAAAGCAAATAATATCAGGAAGGAAGCCTACAGGGTCTAAATGATTTGAGAGGAGTCTAAGATAATCTCAGAATCACAGAATAAAGTGCAGTATAGAAGAAAAAATAGTCTAAGCACTATGACCTGTTAATGAGGACTGGGATAAGATGCAACTAAACTGGAATTCTCATAAAGTAAAAGGACAACACTTCCAGAGAGATACTTCGAAGAGTTTTTATTTCAAAACTCAGTAACATTTTATATGAAAAGCAGATACTATTAATGATACTGTCACATCTATATAACCAGTATATCTGTCAATAAGTATGTAAAAGGAAAACATTCAGCCAACTATGAATGACAGTTAATAAGCTAGTTGATATTATTAACAGACAGAAAAAGACCTTCCCATACAAGAGGACAGATACTGAAAGTTTATTAATTTTCATATACTGGACACATTTTAGAAAGTCTCTTTTAGATAAGAGGGTGTTCTTAGTTCATGAGAAAACAAAATATTGCTTTTGTGATGAAACTAATAGCATATATTCTAGTTCTGAGATTAATTTTCTGTGATAGGAACAACTGTCCTGCCATGGTAGGTAGGCTCAGGGAGGGGAGTGGGAGGGAGCTCAGGGGACAGTGGGCAGGAAGCACTGGGACAAGGCAAGTAAAGGCAGGGATAGTGTCAGTGACTCTGAGCAGCTACATCCCAGAGCAAATCCACAGGACATCCATAGGGATGAGAATGGGACAAGGTCAATCTGGAGGGTGACTCAGTGGTTGAGAATCAGCAAGGTGCATGGCCAGGCACAGACATACCTACAGCATAGCTCAGGCAAGTGTCAGGACATGGACCTGAGATCACAGGCAGCTCCTGCAGAAGGTGGGGTGGCCCTGGCTAGACTTCTCCCCACTCTTCCTCACACTGATCCAAGGCTATGCAGCTGCAGTACCTGCAGCATGGCCTTGAACAAAGGCAACCAATCTCTGGGATAGGAAGAGGGAAAATACTTGCAGAGCATTCTGCTGCCCAGCAACAGGCCAGTGTTTAATGTAGGGTGTTGAGTGACCAAATCCAAACAGTGAAATTGTCAAATCCATTTCAGTTGTTCTCAGCCTCTTGCTTATTGTTCACCTGTGTTTACTTGCCTGCAGCCATATTAGAGGAATATCTGTTTTAACAACCCTTTTGTTGAAGATCTCCAGTGGGAATTGAGAATTTAGAAACTTGCCATGCTGTATTTACTTTTCAGAGGCTGTTGGGTTACCAAAATTACAGACCAGACTGCGTGGGTTTTCTGAATCAACAGGTCAAAAAAAAAGTCATATTAAAATCAGAATTTATTAAAGGTAAAGATCAAGTAGTAATAAACAAAAGAAATAATTTGCATAACATACCCCATCTGGATACATTGAAAATTGTTTTGCTTTGTCTAACAAAGCAAAGCTTTGTTTTGCTTTGTTAGACAAAGGAAACAAAAATACCTTGTATTTTCCAAACTCATTTGTTCCTTATTGGCCCTGTATGTCTTCATGTCTTCCTATATAAGATTTTTCTTCTTCTATTTATCAGGTTCTTCCTTTTCAAGTGTCACCTTTTTAAGCATACCTTGTTTAAAATCAGCTCTTGAAATAACATTCCTAGGAGTCAGAGCTCCCATGATCCTCAATGTTTTAGCAGTCTGCTGGACAGATTACTATCAATCTAATATTTAAAGCAAATCTGAATGATGATGAAAGAAGAATTTGCCATGCTTTTGACATAGAATAATTTCATTTTAAATTAGGATGAAAATAAATTCCAAAATGTCAGGTTCAACAACAAAACTGAGTTCTTACTTTCCAGTATGACTCCTTTGTTACAGGAGTGACCTGAAAGGCCTAATTCCTTTTGTTAATTATATGATTTCTCTTGTCTTTCCTTTATGATTTAAGATAATGGTTTCACTATGTCATTTAAATATTTTATACCCAAGGTCTGCAGCAAAAGAGTAAAATTTCATATTCACAGTGCAACGTGCCTGCATCGCTGCTCTCTGATACTGCAGGAAACCAAGATCAAGATCATGACATGCTGGCTTTCTGCATTTGAACAGACAGATCGATGAGCAGTACAGCAGCTTTCAAATGCAGACTTTAATTTTCTTTTCTCTGCTTTGAATTCAAATTATATTTCAGATAAACTGTGAGAAATAAATTGGTTCAGGCAAGATATTAAGATCAGAATTCTCTCATTTTGAAATTACTTTGTCACTTCAAACTTAAGCTCAAAGCATTAGGTTTCTGTCAAACTTACCTTGTTTCTCCTAAAGTAGGAATGTATATAAGCAGGCAGAAATGGAAGGCTGGCTTTCGGTATTCGCAGTGTCACCCTTGCACAGTCAGGAGATCCTATGCAAAACACAAGGTTTCTAAACCTTTAAAACTTTTTAACATTTTACCAGTTCAGTGTATTATCAAGTTAGCAATAGTTACACTTCTGTAGAAAGATGATATGCTTATAATACTGTTGAAAATTGAGGCTATTGCATAATTTTTTCTACTTCATTCCACTTCTATTTCTGCCACTATTGTAGATTGCTTTAAAATTCATAAAAAACAATATGGCATAACAAACTGCACAGGTAGAGGCTTTATACATTTTTATCTTTAATGGCTAGCTTGAAAGTCTTCACTTTTGTCACTGAGAGGCAATTGTGAAAGAGAAATTGCAGCTTTTTACTTCTTAGTAGCTTAACAAAATTCAGAAAAATAAGATGCCAGTGGCATTTCTTAGTTTTTTATGAAAACAAGATTTATGAGATTAGGTGACTGTGTTGCTATATAAATGCAAGCGGTGCACTTCTGTGCACATCATTCTGTCAATTCCATTTCAATAATATCTGATTCGATTGTCCGCTCTCAAACAACTTTACAGACAGTGAGCAATCTAAAATGTGATAAATCCCCAGGAGTTCCATGAAAAATGTGAGCAGGTAGAGAAGAGAGACTTTTTTTAAACCTTCCCTGGGGGCAGAAAAAGTACAGTGCGGCTTCAACCATTATAAAATAACAGATAGCCCAGTAGAAAAGATAAATTAGGAATAATATAACCAAGGCGATATGTTTCCTTTGCAGTGATACCAAAAGAACCATTTCTCAGTCTAATTTCTTCCCCTTCTATGAAATTGTAGGTGCAAATCTGACATTTTTGTGCAGTCAGGATATTAATAATGTTTCTTCCACCCTTTTGCCTTCCCCCACTTGTGGATTCTCTGTCTAGTAAGAATTGAACTCCAGCTACAGTCTTAGTACAGTCTGGTGTAAAAGGCAAGCAGCCATGAGAAAAATATCCATTGACAACTAAGTTTTATTGCTGCTTTTGCACACAAAATTATTTCATGTTGTACTAATCACTAAAAGAATGTTGATCAGAGAATAACTGACCCAAAGAAAATAATACCCATAACTCCTTTTCTAAAAGATGTTTAATGAGTATAATCAGGAATTTTTGCTCATTCTTGTTTTTCAGATGAAGCAGATCGGTCACGATGGCTACAACCCCACCTCTGTAGCTGAATGGCTGGATTCCATTGAACTGGGTGACTATACCAAATCCTTTCTAATTAATGGCTATACATCGATGGACCTTGTGAAAAAAATCTGGGAGATTGAATTAATTAATGTAAGTTGATCAATTTATAGCAGTAGTTCCTCCTAAATACATTATGTAATACTTGTCCTTATACATCAAGGATAAAGCAGGAAAGCATTTTCACTACAAATACTATCATCAGGTACTGTTAATGACTACAGCTTTTATACCTGTACCTAGGTTGACTGTACCTTTACTTCCATTTACTTTGCCATTATCTTTAGTATGGTATTCAATCAGCATGATTGTGTTTGCCTTCAGGATGCTGAACTACATTAAAAATACATTTGGGGAGTTTATAGCTACAAAGCACGAGTTTTAAAGTACTTCTTATAAAGATACTTACAGTTTACTTTTTATACATGCTCCGTCTAAAGTAAACATAAAACAAGGAAACCTTAAGTATAGTTATTAGGTAATGCTAAAAGAGCACAGTATTTTCTTTAACTATCACTTTTACTTGAAACTTTATTTACGTGAGTCAATTACATTTGATGCCCAAATTGGGCAACCATAGACTTTAATGTGGACTACACTGCAGGGTAATATGGAGTGAGATGAAGTTTGTACTGTTACAATGAAGACATTGACTGTACAGCTTTGCCAGTGGAATTTTCATGTAAGTTATGTGTCTGAAACTGCGTTGTTTTCTCTTATGAAAGATAGATGATTGTAGCTTTGGATCTGCTGTGACTTTTGAAATCAACCGTATTGTCAGTTTATCTGAACTTTAGTGCAATCTCTACATGAAGAAAAGCCCAATATCATATTTTTATTGACTCTTCACAGACAAAAGGCTCTACTCTTCCTTCCATTGTAGGAGATACTGCATCTTTGTTTCTGATTAGTGCCCGAGCCCCAGACAGTCAAAGGGCTACCAGTAATCATAGGCAATCAAACATATGATAAAGCAGTTGGTATAGTTTTATACTATGGAACAGTTCCCACTGTGTCCCAGGCTGGAGAAATGAAGAACATACCTACGGTGCAAAACCATGTTTCAACACAGTAACTGGTGCATGAGACAGAAGTAGGTATAGCCTGAGACAGGCATCTAAAGAAAAGAAGAGAAAGAAAAATATAAATGGAGTTATTTCATATCACTTGAAAGACAAAACCATTGCATGTTAGAATTTCTTTTCTTGCTGTTACACTACAGTCAATGTTAACTGGCGCAAAAATGTAGATTAAGGACCAAACTCTGCCTTATGTGTTGTCTGTGGCATTCAGTGTATGTTGTAGTTGTATAATTAAAGTCAGGATATGATTGATGCTATTATGGGTGTCTGCTGCTAAGCTATTTATAACTGTGACTTTTTCCTGTAAGTGGCTGGATTTTAATAAGAACTGGGGACCCTTTGCCTGAGAAGCTAAGTCAGATTAACAACTAGCACTGAGTTGGAAAAAAAAGTGGAAGACTCTGCTTGTATTCTGTCATTTAATTTTGCATCCCAAACATTTTGTCATAATCAATTTGGAAACAGATTACCCTTTAGCTCCCCCAAGTGGATCATTAAAACTTCATTAAAGGTTTTTGATTTGATTCCAAACTTGCTTAAGCTGATGAAAAGGGGAGTACCTGCACTGAAGTTAACAGGAATACACTTCTGTAAAACTAGTATAAACCAGACCTCTATATATCCCTCTAATTGTAAAGCTTAACATTATGTTCTGATTGAAGATCTGTATTTCTTAGAAAAACACCCCCTTTTGCCATGAGTTGCAAGTAGAAGCTGTTCATTAGTTGTATAAGTACTTGTATAGATACAGAAATCTATAGAGAGAAATGTTTTTCCCACTTGATATGTTTGGATTATGTTGTTCAAAAGCATAGTAAATCACAGAATATGCTGAGTTGGAAGGTACCCTCAAGGATCACCAAGTCCAACCCTTAGCCCTGCACAGGACCATTCTCAAAAGTCACTCCTACAAATTCTACATTCTATACATTTCTCTTTTAGTCCAACCAGTATATATTTGATTCCCCCCAATCAGTAGTAGCTAAGCTAACTGTAACGATATTATTTTCACTGAGAAAAGCTGTAGCTTAGAAAATTATTTACTGTTACTTTTCTCTTTCAATTGAGGGGAATCTTTCAGAAATGGACAAGAAATTGTTTTGAAGCATTGTGCAGTCTGACAGAACAAGATACTTAGCTCTGACCAGCAGGCCTGCTGTCTGAAATTGATTTCAAAGGTCTCACTTCCCATTCAGGTGATGGCAAAGAAAAGCTTATTACAGAAAGTTTTTCATAAAAGAACACATAAAGGTCAAAGCCACTAAGTCTGGAACAGAACTCTTCACTTGAGTAGGTCAAAATCCAGGCATTTGAAAAATAAGAGAAAAATCAGACTCAGCATCCTGAAAAGAATTCAAAGTACCCTTGTTTTGGTGGCTCTTGGTTCTTAAGTTGTACATGGAACAAGAAGTTCAATTTAAACTTATGTTCAAATATGCAATAAAAATATGTTAAGGGCTACAGAAATGATAACTTCTTCATTTTAGCTATAATTTTGGACAGTTTCAGCCACTGAACTTGACATAAAAGACATACCTGATTTGGTGCAAGGAATCCCTGTGTTTGTATTTGGTATTTCTTTCCATTTAGCCATTGGGAAATAATCCATGGGTCCCTGTAGTGAGGGGATATTATCTCTACCTTCAAATCTGTTTCTACCCCTCACTACAAGAAAAACATTGAGGCACTGGAGCATATGCAGAGAAGGGCAACGAAGCTGGTGAAGAGTCTGAAGCATAAGTCCTGTGAAGAGCGGCTGAGGGAGCTGGGGTTGTTTAGCTTGGAGAAAAGGAGGCAATAACTCTCTACATTTACCTTGAAGGAGGTTGTAGCCAGGTGGGGGTCAGTCTCTTCTCCCAGGTAACAAACAATAGAATGAAAGAAATGGCCTCAAGGTTCAGATTGGGTATTAGGAAAAATTTCTTCACCAAAAGGGTTGTCAAGCATTGGAACAGGCTGCCCAGGGAAGTGGTTGAGTCACCATCCCTGGAGCTATTTCAAAAACATGTAGGTGTGGCACTTAGGGATATAGTTTAGTGGCACTTGACAGTGTTATGTTTATGGTTGAACTCAACGAACTTAAAGGTCTTTTCCAACTTAAATGATTCTATGATTAAAGTTATCCTTCATGAGTTACCCCTTACTCCCATAGGACGTTGGCATGATCAGAACTTTGAATCTTCTTGTCTTCCTAAAAAGAACAGTTCTTACTCTTTTTCCAACACAGTTTTATTATTCGTGTAAGTTACCATCTAGGCAAAGACATTTACAAACACTGCAAAGAGAACACCAAGCATATGAGAGAGACAGAAGGTCTGAGACATTGGTGGTAAAGGCCATCTTCCCTCAGCTTTTCTTGTCCTCTAGCTGGCTCACTGGCATTAAGAAACAAATTTAACATGCAGCTTCCTGAAATTTATTGCTAATTATTCCAGCAAGGTAATGTTTGATCTGACATGCTAGTTTCTTTCAGACTTCTCTGTGTGTATATGTATACATATATAGAGAGAGAGAGAGTGTTTCTTCAAACTCAATCAAGCAGCAATTTCTAAAAGCATTTGAATCAGAAAAGTAATTTTAAAAGTTTTTTTTTTTTTCATGTGAGCTCCCACCAGCATTCTCAGCCCTTTTTCAACAAGTCAGACTGTGGCGGTTTGAGACCCTCAAAAATCCAATTTCCAAGTCCAAGCCCCCCTCCTACAATTTTTTTCAGTGTGAAAGGGTTTTCCAGACATAACACAACTCAGTATGGGGGAAAGGGAATTATATCACAGTTTATTACTTACACAAATAAATACTATAATACATTATATACACAATTCTAACTATCTCTCCTATGGTAAAGCAACATATTTACATTAGATCAAGTCCCTCCTTTCCCTCCACTAAAAGTTCAGAAGGGAAGAAGGAAAGATCCTTTCCACTTCCAGGGCAGCAGTGTCTCTCCTCTTCAAGGCAGCAGTCGCAGCTGGAGTTATTGTAGCTGGAAAATATCTTTCTCTCTCTCTCCATTACAACGCAGGGGTCTCTCTCTCACCCCTCTCAGCCCTTCAGCTCTAACCGAAGGTCTCGCCTGTGGACTACCAGCAGGGACAAACACTCACTTCACCATGGTCATATCACGGAATGCAGGGCATCCTGTGAAAGTCCCTTCCTCAGGGGATTCAAGCTCCTCCTGAGTCAGAATGTTTAGGGCAGCTCTCAGTTCAGTCTTTGCCCCAAGCGTTCTACCAGAGCTCCTTTGCTCCGTCTCAAACTGCCAGTATGGTGAAGGGGGAAAGGAAAGCATCTTCCTCCCCCACATTCCTCCTGGCTGTCCCGGTCCAACTCCAGGACATCTCTGCATTTCAGGACTCCCTTCAAGTGGAAGTCCACCCCCTCCTCTTCCAAAAAAAGGAGTCTCCAAAGGGTTTGGGGAAATAAAGCCAAGTCTCACCCCCAAACAACCTCCGCTGAGCTTGGTCCTCTCTCTCTCCATCGGACAGCTCTGCGTCTCTCAGCTTGGTTCCATGCCATCCCTGCTGCTTGTTATCTTCTTTGACTCTCAGCCACAGCTCTCTGTTCAGTGCTGCTCCGCCACCGTCTCAGTGTCTCTGGCTGTCCCCTTACAGCGAGGAAACCCCCCCAGCTTTTAGACACAGTACTTGGCCCAGTTTAACACTGTTCCAAGTTCCTGCAGCCCCCAGCCGGAGCTGGGGGGCCTTGGCCCGCAGCGAGGCTCCTGGCCTCTCTCTCCTCGTGGCCTAAAACATGGCTACTTCTCCTCCAACTAAGTCATCTTCTCCCTTCGTTTCCGGTCTGGTGTGATATGTTTTAATTTTGCAAGGGCACTGGTTGGATCAACACCAAGAACCCCTCCCCCCCCCGGAGTTACACACTTTCCAACCCCAGGGGAAAACCCTTTTTAACCCAGGACACAGACCTTCAGACTTTGAAATTTAGCTTTTGTTTCACTAATTAATTGTAGATAATTTAGAATTTTTCCAGATCCATTTCCTTCTGGGATGTGCT